GAATATAGTGAAATTCTTTATGCCTATGAATCCTGCCCACTAGAGGAGGCTTCTCTCTCATCTCCAAGGTTACCTTATCTGGAACATTACTCTTACCTTATTCTTTTAAGTAATTAACTCATTTTTTTTTAAATTGAGGCACAACTTACATCTCTGTAGTGCATAGATCTTAATTATATAGCTTGATAAAATTTTACATATGAATATATTTGTGTAACTACCTCTAAGATCAAGATAAAGAACATTTCTATCAGCTTATTCTTGAGTTGAGTTCTTGATGTTTTGGGAGCATAGTCTGTTCTTCCAAGTCCAGGTGAGGAACAATATATCCCTTTCTCTAAGCTCTCTCTTCCCTCAAACATCCTTCTTATTTTGGCTTCTGAATTTTTCAGGCCATGAGTCAATTGCACTACTTCAAGGGAAGCAGAAAAATCTCTGTAGTCCAGCTCTTATCCTGAAGCAGTGGACTAGGCCTCCAGGATTACCTATTATTGAATGGGTTATCTCACTTTTATTGATTTGTAGAAATTCTTTCATTTGGATACAAGTCCTTCTCAAAAATTTGTGTTGCAAATATCTTTTTTTATGGTTAGCTCTGTTGTGGTCCTGTCAATTGCTGTTTTTAAGATTTCTTAGTAATCATAAATCATTTCAGAGGGCACCTCTCAATAATTTTCCGCTACCATTGGGAAAACTATTCCACTTTGCTTTGTAGGATCTTTCTTTTCATTCTCTATTCAGTCAATCTTGATCTATTAACAATGAAGTCTCTCTCTCTTTTTTAGCCCAATCTTTAAAAGCCAATATGTACGGGTATATAGCTCCTTTTCTTTTTCATATCTGTTTAGCTTGCTTCTAAATTCTCAAATTTTTGTCTGAAGGAAGTGTTCTCTTCTTGCTTTCAACTGCAGCATGCCCAGAATCTTAGTATCTTAAGACAACAGGTTTGTTTTGTTTTGTCTTTTCCCCATTTAGAAAGTCCATTGTGTGTCTGAAAGACTCTCTACCTTCCATGCACTTACTCAGTGATTCTGGCCGCTTTGATCTTATTTATGGCTTTGTCCGTTGAGCACAAAGGCCTCCATGTTTGCCTGGAGAATTACAGAGGGCTTTTCCCTGCCTCAAAACAGAAATAATACATGTCACTTCTGTTAATACCCATTGCGTAGAGCTAGTCAAAAGTTCTGGACAACTACAAGGGGGTTGGGAAATACAGTTTCCTGGATCCTAGTTAGAGAGAGCGTGAAAACGGATTTAGTGAACTGACATAATTATCTCTGCCATGGCAGAAATGCCTCTTTTGCATTTCTTACTTAAAATAAGATCAGATCTTGTTTTGTAAGTTTTGGCCCAACAACCCCTTGGATTCTCAGAGCCAAGGTGCTCGAGATAAAAATCTTTTTAATTTTCTTGTTGCTGTTAGTTTGTATATATTCTGTTGAGTAGCCATATTCACTCCAACACCAGGTTCCTCCCTCCAGCATAAAGGGTCACTGTCACTATGTCAGCTAAGTTGACTCAGCTGTCACAGTAAAGAATAAATAAAAGAAAAAAAACCCCAAATCTCTATATTATAAAAACAAGTGAAGCCATTAAGTAAAAATTGTGCTCTATTCAAAATGTAATATATGAACATTGCATATAAACTTTTTGAAATTAAACCTCAAAATGACATCATGAAGAATTAATGGTAGAGGCCGGGCGCGGTGGCTCACGCCTGTAATCCTAGCTCTCTGGGAGGCCGAGACGGGCGGATTGCTCGAGGTCAGGAGTTCGAAACCAGCCTGAGCAAGAGCGAGACCCGTCTTCTACTATAAATAGAAAGAAATTAATGGCCAACTAATATACAAAAATTAGCCGGGGAGGGTGGCGAATGCCTGTAGTCCCAGCTACTTTGGAGGCTGAGGCAGAAGGAATTGGCTTTGACAGGAGGTTTGAGGTTGCTGTGAGTAGGCTTGAGCGCCATGGACAATCACTCTAAGCTGGGCCAAAAGCGGACTCTGTCTCAAAAAAAAAAAAAAAAAAAAAAAAAAAAAAAAAAAATTAAAAAAAGAAAGAAAAAAAAAAAGAATTAATGGTAGATAGAATCTGAGTAGTGTGCCATAAACAGACGTTATTCATTCTAGAATTAACAAGAGTAAGAGAAGGCCGGGCGGGTGGCTCACGCGTGTAGATCCTAGCATCGTGGAGGCCGAAGGCGGCGGATTGCTCGAGGTTGGGATTCGAAACAACTCTGACGAATGACCGTCTCTACTAAAAATAGGAAAAATTAAGTTGACCAGACTAAAATATATATACAAACAAAAAATTAGCAGGCATGGGTGGCAATGGCTGTAGTCCCAGCTTACTTGGGGGTGAGCAGGAGATCGCGCTGCCTAGAGTTTGAGGTTGCTGTGAGCTGGCTGAGCCACGGCATCACCTAGCTGGGCAACAAAAAGTGAGACTCTGTCTCAAAAAAAAAAAAAAAAAAAAAAAGAGTGAAGAATTATTTCCAGAAAATCCTGGGACAGTATAGAAAAACCGACTCCCTCAACCTGAAATGGAGTTGAGAGACCAAAGAATAATTCAGACAAGTCCACTCTGGCGAGTTAGATGAGTTTATTAGAGGTTATTTGTATGGACTCTCACCCTAGTCAAGACAAGAATCCTCTGGGTACTCTATCCTGGTTGGGACAGGAACTCTTCGGACACTGACTCCTGGTGGTGGCAGAAGTTCTTCAAAGAGTTGAATTCCACATCTGCCCATCGCTGGTGTTGTCTTAAATCCCTTCCCAGTGAGTGATGTCGAACTCTTGCATTATATCATCATATGTTTCCACTGAAACAAAACGAGCATGCGCAGTATAATAATCGTGGGGCGGCATGCACCCCATGTTATGTCAATGATATTAAAATTCTCCACTAGGGGGAGATTTTTGTGTTTAGAATTAGGTGAAGAGTAGTATTACAGTCCAGCTAAAGCAGTTCTAAAGCAATCAGGACTGATTTTATACTAGTTGCCTCTGCCTCAAGAAAGTGCTGAGGCACAGCTCTTATGCCCAGTAACTCTTTTTTGGAATTTGCTTCATTTATTTTGTAACAACTTTGTTGAGCTCTCCAAACCAGCACAGCACAGTGTTTTTGTGTGTGTTGGTGAACTTGTGTTTTTTTCTCAAGAATCTATGACTTCGGATGTTATAAAGATGTCATAATTATATCTGAGGTATCATGTAGGAGTGTAACAATTTTAAAGCAGGAGAACAGACCACAAGATGCTATTCCATTGTTCTTTCATGCCTTTGGTATTAAATGTCTTCATTCAAAGAGAGACTATATCTTCCTAGGAATAAGACTTTAGACATTTATTTTTATTTATTTATTTTTTTTTCGTTTTTTTATTTCTTATTTTTTTTTTTTGACTTTAGACATTTAGATTAAGTGTTTGTTAAAAAGAAAAAAATCTAGGAAGATATATTGGGAAGCTCAGCGTACTTAATTTAAATGGGTATTGGCTTCAATAAAGAAACTCCATTTTCTCTCAACATCTTAATGCTTTTAAGCAACACATTTTGTTTAATAGGAAAAATAATTACAGTCCCTTTACTTTCTTATAGGAGGAATATGGTAGTTGGCCTTGAAGAAACTGAGAAGCTCTGTGTGGTATGAGTATAAAGAGAAGAAAATGAAAGACACACTTAAATATTTAACTCTTTTATGGAAGGACAGAAGCATAACACAGATCATCAAAAAGACTCAGTAAAGTTTGAATAATATCATGCTCTTTTAGAAAATTCCTCTTTCAATCAGGAGTAACAGACAGTCTTCAGTGGTTGTTGGTGTTTCTCTTCCTGTTCCACTTAGTGTTATTGACTTTCCTACTTTAACCTTTCTTTGAATAACTGGCTCTCCTGCCAATCTCAACAACCTGGAGAAATCTGAATGAAGAGCCTTTTCTAAATCCTGTAATGGAAAGCTTTCGTAATGAGGAGGCATTGTATGTCATTGAGAATGAAGCTGGAGGTCATGAATAATCCATAGCAATAAAATAATACGGATGATAATGTTACCTTTATCTCCCTGTTCTTATGTTTTGGGACCCTTGTGGGATACCAGTTAGTGTTGAAGGATGAGTAACATTCCACTGATTATTTCTGTAGACCCACCAATTCCCAAAGAGCTGTGATGCAGACTTACCATTTTAAAATCGAAGATATAGAGCAAAGTTAATAAGGTTTTGTATTCAAGGAAGCATTCAGATAGGGCAAAAGTCCTTCAAGGTCATTTAGATAGTAACTTCTATTTCAAATTGTCATAAGTACAAAGGGCACTTAGAAAGAAAGTAATCTTGGGAGATGAAACTCAAGTTTTACTTTTTGATTATTCTCCCATAATTAATAACAAATACTCGGGAAAGTCATTAAATTACTCTTGGTTTCACTTCACTTTCCCAAAGATTTGGGGTAAAAAGATTCTCTGATATTATTTTTTGCTTCATCATTTTAAGATAAAGTTTAGGTTTATAAAATGAGATTAATAAAAATGTAGATTTTTTAAAGGAGAGAAAAAAAGGGCCATATCTATTGAGAGATAATCTTAATTATACCATAGGTACATTTTTGCATATACCTTAGAAACAATACTATTTTGTAAAGACAGCACAAATGGTACATGTCAGTTTAGAAGACCATGTTTAGTTACCCATGAATATCATGTTGCGCTTTCTCAAATTCGCACCACTAGATGGAGCCCTTGAAGAAGTAACATTTCAGGAATTGGCCCTTTGAGGATTCAGATTTGAAATGGAAGATTCCAGTACTCATGAAAATCCACGTAGAAAGAAGCAAGCTCTCCTCTCGTAGTTAAAGGCATTTAATGTTGGTTTTGGAAACACACAGTGCCAAGGTGAGCTGATGGTTTCCCCAGCTTCTACACTTCCTTTGTTATAATGTACATAACCATCTATATTTAACAAAAAGTAATACGCACAATAAGTATAAGCTCAGGGAAGATAATAATTAATCATAGTATTCAATATAATATCCAAAGTGGTAAAATCTCTGATATTTTTTTTCTTCACATTTTAAGATAAATATAAGTTTAAATGAGATTAATAAAAATGTAGATTTTTAAGGAAGAATAAAGGCATATATATTGAAGACTAATTTTTTTTTTTTTTTTTTTTTTTTTTTTTGAGACAGAGTCTGCTTTGTTGCCCAGCTAGAGTGATCCGTGCGTCAGCTAGCCACAGCAACTCAAACTCTGGCACCAGCGATCCTTCTGCCTCAGCCTCCCTGGTAGCTGTGATACAGCATGTGCCACCTATGCCCGCAATTTTTATATATATGACATTGCCAAGTGATTTTTCCATTTATACAGTAGAGACGGTCCTCGCTCGTAGCTCAGGCTGGTATT